CCCCTTCTGGGAATGTGCCCTCAACCAAGGTACATGCCCTTGACCAGAATCGAACCTGGGACCCTTCAATCTACAGGCCAACACTCCATCCACTGAGCCAAACCGGTTAGGGCTATAGTCATGTTTTAACAGTAATAGCTAACACTTAAATAGCACTTATGATACACCGGGCATTGTTCTATTAAGTCATTTACACAAACTACATTTTTACCATAATCTCATAAGATAGGCACTGCTACTACCCTTACAGAGGAAACTGAGGTACAGAGAGGTTAAGTAGTCCTAAAGTCATGCAGCTAATGAATGATGGAGCCAGGATTTAATCCATCTAAGTGTGGTTCAGAGAAGGTGCTATGGATAACTACACTTTCATATTGAAAAGCATTGTCATAAATAAAACTGACACTCCAGAAAGCAGCATTGTGTTTTGTCCCGTGGTTTCAGCATCCCCAGTGCATACCATCAGAGATCTGAAAACTACTGATACTTGAGGACGGATGTGCCAGTCTTGGCCCTAGAATAACATGACCAAGAAAGGGATTCCGACTCCCGACACCCAATAATAACACGGGACTAGAGCCAGTGGCATTTCCTCAAAAATTCAAGACTCCTGGATGAGCCAATAGAGAGCAAGTTAATCAGGAAATGACAAAGAGAAGCAAAGTGAGGGCTTTAAGGTCACTGAACAGCTGAAATGTGTGGCTGCCGATTTGTAGGAAAGAACCTAACTAGCATCCTACCTTCTTATTTCCCCCAGAGAGTCTGTAGGAGGCAGATGCGAAAGGACTAAGACCCTAGATGTTACTACTAGAAACCAGGATAGAAGTGTACATTCTGGGTTATTTCAGATGCAGCTGTCAGACACCAAATATCAACAGGAGTTTTGTAATAGAAAAGTCCACAATGGCTTCAAGTACAGCTGTGTTTCCTTCACTGTCAGTTAAGCTCCTCCCAAAAGTAGCAAGATACCCACGAACAACTCTGTTTATGACCTATTTGCTTAGCCATCTCAGAAGTTAAAATTATTTCCCAATACTTCTAGCAAAGATCCTAGGGTTATGTCTCATTGGCTGTGTTAGGCACTAATACCCACCCCACAAACACACACACACACACACACACACACACACACACACAGCCAGTCACTGTCCCTGGACTGGCAGGAATGGAATGCTTTGATTCAACAGGACAGGGGCATCTGCCCACACTGGACCTGCAGAGTAAAGCAGCCCCACAAAACCTCATGAACTGAGTTGAGAGAAGGGTAGTTCCCCAAAGAAAATTATAGATTTCTTAACAGATGCTGGGCAGGTAAAATCAATAGTCAACCTGTACAAGATGGGAGGGAGCCACAGATAATGGGTCACATGCAAAACAGTTCATTTGAACAAACTCTTACCCTGGGTTATCTGAATGCCCTTAAAGCAATTTGGCAAACATTTACTGAGTATTTACCATGTACAAGGTACACCACCTTCCACATCATAAATGCACAGCAAGACAGTCCTCTGCTGCCATCCTCAGTAAGAATTACCAGACTCAAGCTATTCCTCCCATCCTATCTAATAAAAGGCTAATATGCAAATCGACTGAACAGAGGAACAACTGGTCACTATGAGGAGCACTGACTCCCAGGGGGCAGACGGGCAACACCGGAGAGCTGCTTAGCCAGAAGCCACGGAAGCCCTAAGATGTTTGACTGTTGGATGTCCCCTGAGGGCTCCCAAACTGCAAGAGGGTGCAGGCTGGGCTGAGGGGCCCTCCCCTCCACAGGTGCATGAATTTCATACATTGGGCCTCTAATTAAGAGTATAATGAGCAGCCTGGACCGGTTTGGCTCAATGGATAGAGCGTCGGCTTGGGGACTGAAGGGTCCCGGGTTCGATTCCGGTCAAGGGCATGTACCTTGGTTGCGGGCATATCCCCAGTAGGGGGTGTGCAAGAGGCAGCTGATCGATGACTCTCTCTCATCGATGTTTCTAACTCTCTATCTCCCTTCCTCTCTGTATAAAATCAATAAAATATATATATATTTTTTTAAAAAAGAGTATAATGAGCAAACTGCTATTCATCTCAGAAACCAGCTCTGATGTCATCTCCCAGGAAGCCTCTTGCCTATCATCCTGTCAGAGTTAGTCACCTTCCATCCATCTCTGAACTTGCTACATACTGATATTATCACCCTGTACCATAATTCTCTCTGTCTCCCCAAATAGTGAGTGGCATCTCTGTATCTCTAGTGCCCAGGATATAACAGAAGCTCCAAAAAGTTTATTGACCTGATTTAAAATGAGTTCCCAGGTATGGCTTGGCCTCAGGCTTCTACAGAATATTCCTGAAACTATTTAGCTTCCCTTCTCAACAGGCATTCCTTTCAAGAGTCAATTTGCCATTATCTCAATTCCACTGAATTAATACTTACTTTGAATGCCTATCATATGCCAGGCAGTATTAGGCTTTAAGGATTCAGAAATTAATGAGATACATTTCAATTGTAGTGCTCTAAAAAAAGCCAGACTAGCTCTCCTACCAGAATTTCTTTAGCTGGGAAAACAAATATCTGCCCTGGTTTCTACTCTGCTTGTGACTTGGTCATTCTCCTCACCCCACCCAACCCCATCATTTCCAGGCCTTTTTCCCCCAGAAGGAAAGACCCGACTTGTAAAATCTGTAACGGATGTGGATGTGTGGAATTAAACTCCACATTTCCATTTGTCTCGATTAAAATCCTTGAAGTAATCCTTGATCTTCTCTCCCACACATCTATCCATCTGTCAACAAATCCTGTTGGCTTTCACTTCAAATCCCAATTCCAACCATGTCTCATCACCTCACCCAATCTGATACCAACCATTAGCATCTCTTGCTAAGGTCCTTGCCATATAGGTTCATGCCTGGTCTCCCTGCTTCCATCCTTGTGACCCTACAGTCTATTCTCACAGAGCAGGCCAGGGTGAGTCTTTAAAAATGGAAGTTCAGCCCTGGCCAGGGAGCTCAGATAGTTCGGATGTTGTCTGACACACCAAGACTGCGGGTTAGGTCTCAGTCAGGGGACATACAAGAATCAACCAATGAATGCACAAATAATCAGAACAATCAATAATTCTCTCTCCCTTCCTCTCTCTCTCAAAAAAAAATCAATAAGAATGGAAGTTCAAACCCTCCAATTACTCCCCATCTCATTCAGAATAAAGCTAAACAGTCCTATGTTTTATCCTTTCTCATATCCTGATCTCTTGTCTATTCCGTCCAAGCCACACTGGCCTTTTTTTTTTTTTTTTTTTTTTTTTTTTTTACAGAGAGGAAGAAAGAGGGATAGATAGAAACATAGATCAGCTGCCTCCTGCACACCCACCACCGGGGATGTGCCCACAACCACAGTACATGCCCTTGACCGGAATCGAACCCAGGACCTTTCAGTCCGACGGCCGACGCTTTATCCACTGAGCCAAACCGGTTTTGGCCACACTGGCCTCCTTGCTGTTTCTTGTTTGGAGGTTCTAGCAGGGGAGCGCAGCTACTGGTATTCCCTTGGCCGAAGACCGGTCCTCTCCTCTTGGGGGAAAGTCGTCCTCTTCGACCGAGCGCGCAGCTTCGGGAGGGACGCACATGGATCGGTGAGGGAGGAGGGGACACCCGCCTAGCCAGCCAGATCAGCCAAATCAACCCTGGCGATCAATGGGGTGACAGATGTCGCAGCCAGATCGCCCTCACATCCTCCTTGCTGTTTCTTAAACACACCAGGCGTGCATGCTTGTGCCTGAAGGCCTTTCCGCTGACTTCCTCTGCCTGGAATGCCCCCTTTCTCTGGATATATGCATGACTAACTCACTCATTTCCTTTATGGGTTGCTCAAAAGTCACCTCAGTGAAGCCTACTCTACTTGCCTTGTAAAGAATTGCCACCTGCCATCCCCTTTCTTGTTTTCTCCACAGCAATCATCCCTTTCTAACATACTCCCGAATTTACTCATGTGGTGTCCATCTCCCAGGACTGTAAGCTCTGGACATCAATGAAATATCTACTCATTCAAAACTGCAGCCTTGGTGTATCAGACATGCTCTAACCAACCGAGCTGCCTGGCCAGGGCTGAACTTCCGTTATGTGCCAAGCACTGTGTTGAGTGATGGAGCTACCGGGTGATGATTAACACAGCTTATAAGTCTCAGGAGGGAAGAAATCATAATACATGTAGCTCCTTTATTGAATGCTTCCTCTGTATTAAGTGCTTGACATACATCACCATAATGATATTAACATTTATAAAACAGACTCTGTTCTACATGCATTATCTCATTTCACCCTCACCAAGACCTATCACATGAATATTAACAGCCTCATTGGAAAGGACAAGAAACAGGATTTCAAATCAAGGCTGGGAACCGGCAGAGTCAGGGTTTGAACAGGGAGGGGCAAGGGGAATAGGGTCAGCTGTGAGAAATACTTAGATCTTAGGATGGGCAAGGCTACGTACGTAAAAGTTTAGACGGGAACTAACTCCCAGGTTTGGCTGGAGGGGACCAAAGAGCCATAAGGCCGAAGAGAAAGGCGGCGGCCCCACTTGGAAGGTGTGGGGTTTGAGGAGCCTGTGAGCCGCTCAAGGATGCAGTCAGTCCATCTCCGGCAGGAACTGGCGAGCCCGGAGGCGGGTTCCGGCCCCTCCCTCGGGCCTGAGAGATGCCCGGGGAAGGCGCGCACCGAGGAGCAGGCCGCGGGCTCCCCTGCCTCTCGGGTTTCTCCAGCAGCAGCTGCAGGAAGGGCGTGGGGGACGGCGAGACAAAGACCCCGCAGGCCCCGCCTCCGCCCGGACGGCCCCTTTAAGAAGCGCGCCCCCCCGCCGCTGGCCCGGCCTCTATGCAAATACGGCGGCGCGGCGGGCGCGCGCGGGCGATCCCGGGCCCGGGCTGCGGCGGTTAGTCCTCTCCCGGCCGCCGTCGCCTCCGACATATTGCCCGCAGGAGCTGCGGCGGCGGCGAAGCGGAGCGCGCCGGGGGGCGGAGATGGGTGAGCGGCAGAGCGGGCCCGGCGCGGCCGGGGAGCGGGCGGCGCGGAAACGGGGATGGCCGGGCTGCCGAAGGGCTCCCCACGCGGACCGGAGCCCGGCAAGGGGCGGGGGAGGGGACGCGGGCGCAGGGGGACCCCGCCCCCTCCTGTCGTTCTGCGGGGTGGGGCCTCCTGTGGGGGCGGGGCGTGTGAGGGGCGGGGCTTCTCCAATGCGGGGTGGGGTCTTGTGGCGGATTGGGCTCTGGTGAGGCTGGGCCCGGCGTGGGCGGAGCCTGGTCTGGGGGCGGGGCCTCGGGCTGTGGGACCTGGGGCGGGGGCACCCTTCTGGGCTGTGGGGGGCCTTCTCCTGGGAGCGGTGGGGCGGGATGGAGACCTAGACTAAGGGAATCCCACTCTGGAGCGGGGCTTCTGGGTAGACGCCGCTTTTATGGGCTCGTGGGCGGGTTTTCTGGGCTGACAATTGTGTGTGTGTGTAGGCGGGGCTTCTGGGCTGAGGGGTGCTTGTGTGGGTGCAGAGCTTCTAAAGAGAGGAGACTAGGTCTGGGCAGAGCTTTGGGGGTGAAGGTATTTGTGTGGGGTTTTCTAAGCCGAGTATCATAGTGTGTGAGCAGAGCTTCTGGGCTGGGGGCTGGCGGAGGGGCAGAGTTCGAGGACAAGTGCTTTGTGGAGACTTATGGGAAAAGCTTTCAAACTGAGGAACTAGGGCAAAAGGTGTGTGTTGTGTAAGCTGCTGTGTTGCCCTGAAGGGATACAAACAAGGCTGTAACCTTGACTAGAACTGGGGTGGTGCTTCTAAGCAGGATGGAGCCTGGGGACTTGAGCTAGACCGCTAAGGCTAGAGAAATAGATTGTGGGTCCAAGTTTGGGTCCCCAAGCACACCATTCTCCCAAAGCCACATCCTTGGCCCTGTGCCCAGGCCCTGGGTCTCAACCGTAAGACACCAGGATGCCCTTTGAGCCGGATCTCAGGTCCTGGAGGAAAAAAACTTCAAGACTGCCCAGAATCGTAAGCCTGTAGAAACCGGGTAGCATCGGAATGGATCAGCATACACCAGAGCTAAGAGCACAGGACCCAGACCCCAAACCGCCTGTGACACAGTATGAACTCCGTTTCCTAATCTATGGAAAACCTACCTTGCTGGTGTCATCACTCATCAATATATACTTACTGGTCATTTACTTAATGCTGGGCACTGTGGTAGGGGGAGGGGATACAATGGAAAAGGACATAAATATAGTGACCTCACTGCCCTTCCAAACTGGTGGGTAAGACAGACAATAAATACGTTAACAACTGAATAAGAAAAATTCCAAGAGTGAATTGTGGTGGGCGTGGCGGGAATGAATTATGAAGCAGATACTTCCAAAATGGCAGTCAGGGAAGAGCTCTCCAAACAGAGGATACAGCAAGGACAAGAGGTAGCAATAAGCTTGGTTGGCTTAAGGAGAGAGAGGCCGGGATGGCTGAAGCACGGGGGCAGGCAGAGAATGGTAGGCCAGGTCGGAGAGGTAGGCAGGAGCCAGATCATAGGTCTCTGTGATTAAATGGTGAAGGGAGACAGCAGGTAAACTGGTAGCCAGTATCATTGCTGTTATCCTTGACGTACGCCCTTTGGCTTGAGGATTTACCTTATTTGAGTCCCACAGGAGGACGAAGAGGTCCCAACAGGACATCCTACTGTCGTAATCCGCTGTGTGAGCCAGGGTCCTCCGGGGGCTCTGGCGGGGGCCACGCTTCCAGCGCATCGGTCACCAGTGTCCGTTCCCGCACCAGGTAAACTGCCTTCCTGTGTCTTGCCCCTCGCTGTGGGCTCACGGGAATAGTAAGGACGAAGTTGTCCCTGACTGAGCTCCAGGATGCGATGCCCCAGATGCCAGAAGGGGGCTCAGAAGGCAGCAAAAAAGACCTAGAGAATGGTCATCTGTACAGTTGCAGTGGGACATCCTATATAATAAAAGGCTAATTTGCAAATTGAAAGAATGGTGGAACGAGCAGTCGCTATGACGCACACTGACCACCAGGAGGCAGACGCTCAACACAGGAGCTGCCCCTGGTAGTCAGTGCGCTCCCATTAGGGGGGAGTGCCACTCAGCCTAAAGCCCTGAGCCAGGTCATCAGACATCCCCTGAGGGCTCCCAGACTGCGAGAGGATGCAGGCCGGGCTGAGGGGACCTCCCCACTCTCCACCCCGCCCCCAGCCGAGTTCACACATTTCATGCGCCGGGCCTCTAGTAGTGTAATAAATCCAAAGGCCTGGATTCTAGTTACAGCTCTGCTGCTGATTTGCTGGTGTGACTTGGACAAGTTCTCTCCCCTGTTTGGGCCTCCTGTTTTCCTCGTCTGTAAAACGGACCTAATAAATTTTTCCTTCCTGGGGAATGTTGGGAGGCCTGAACAAGAGTAGGGCTAGGAAAAGGCTCTGCCAACCCCTATGCCTGACATGTAGGATAAGGACTCCATTCCAGCCATGAACTGCTTTTCTTATCCTACCCCGCGATTCTGTGCCTCAGAAGCCCTTCTTGGTAGGGTTCTCGGGTCAGCTCCTGACGTTTTCCCTTCCTGTCCCCAGGAGCAGTTCCGGGGCGGGCCTCTCCAGCCCCCCACTGGCCGCCCAGACAGTCGTGCCCCTGCAACACTGCAAGATCCCAGAGCTGCCCGTTCAAGCCAGCATTCTGTTTGAGTTACAGCTCTTCTTCTGCCAGCTCATAGCCCTCTTCGTTCACTACATCAATATCTACAAGACAGTGTGGTGGTACCCACCTTCCCACCCGCCCTCACACACCTCCCTGGTAGGTGTCCAGCCAGGACCACCCGTGCATGTGTGTGTGTGATATGTTTGGTTTCAGTTTAGCACAGCTTACCTAGCACCCTGTGGACTTGGCCTCATGCCGGGCAAGGGAAGTGTAGAAAGAACAGGGAACTGGTGATTCCTGAATACTGATGTGCCCAACACGACACTAGGCATTGTAAAGGTAGAGATGCATCTGACAAGATTTTGCCTAACGGGGCACAGTCTTAAGCCCCGTGGGGGAGATGGCCCACAGACATCTGTGAGTGTTTCAAGGAGTGGAAGGGTCTCCATGCAGAACGAGAGGTTCAGGGACAGGGGTAGGGGTGATCAGGCCAAGAGGGCTCACACACCACTCTCTTATCTCCAGGGCCGTCCCCACTTCCCTCCTCTGGGTCCTGTTCTACTCTAGATAATTTCCTGTCCTGACTCAGCTGGAGGCCTATGAAGGTCAGAGAGTGGGGATAGTCCCTGTGGAAAGGTCTGGGCAGGGGGAGGTGGATATCAGAATAGCTTGTATATGGGCAGGGGGCCCACGTGACCCCCAGGCCTCTGCCCCTGACAGAACTTCCACCTGATCGACTTCAACTTGCTGATGGTGACCACCATCGTGCTGGGCCGCCGCTTCATTGGGTCCATCGTGAAGGAGGTGATTGGGTCCGAGAGGCTGGGGACTTGGGTACCCCCTTCCCCCTGGGGGTGCCAGGGTGATACGTGGAGCCCTTCAGACTTGAGGCATTTCCTCGGGGCTCCCTTTGGACTGGGTTGAAGAACATGATTCACATCCCTCTGGCTGTTAGAGTGTAATGGGCGTCGAGGAGGGCTCTGCCGAGGCTGCTGCCCTGGGTGGGATCACAGGCCGTGCTGGGAGGGATTTGGGCACAGCCTCTGTGGCCTTCAGCCAAAGCCCCATCCCGTCCCGTCTCACCCTGACCCAGGCTGCTCAGAGGGGGAAGGTCTCCCTCTTTCGCTCCATCCTGCTGTTCCTCACCCGTTTCACCGTTCTCACGGCAACAGGCTGGAGTCTGTGCCGCTCCCTCATCCACCTCTTCAGGACCTACTCCTTCCTGAACCTCCTGTTCCTCTGCTACCCGTGAGTACCCCTCATCCACCCCTCACTGCCTCTCACCTGGCTCCTGACCTTTGTCCGGTGCAGCTGGGTCAGCAGGTCCCCACACCTGGAAGACTCGCCAGGCAAGGCAGCAACAGTATTCTCTCCACATTGTCAGACAGTGTCGCCCTGAGATCAGAGTGATTGGCCTGCCTTCGCAGGAGCAGAAACTGAGATAATTTACCCAAGGTGCCACCAAGGCAGAGGTCAGAATAGGACTCACACCTGAGTGTGTATCCCAAGGAGAGGTTCCTGAGGGAAGTTCATATACATTGTCTCCTCTCTTCCTTTCCTCTCTCTCTGGTTCTCTCTCTGTCTCTGTATATATCAGTGTTTATGTAAGCTCTTGGTGCCTCCAGTATTGATTTAAATTTTCTTTATTTTTTATTTTTATTAAATTATTATCTGTGTATGATTTAAATTTTCAACAGTCGCCTAAATTTGACCCTTTCTAGTTATTCCCCAGTACACAGACATTATCTCATTGTACACATTTATATCTTGAATTATTTTTTTTACAAACATAATACTACATGTATCTCATAAAAAAATCAAATACAGTAGGCTAAAAGCTTATAATGAAAAATAGCCTCCACTCCACCCCCCAGAGTAGTCCCACTTCTCAAAAGCAATCTCTGTCACTGTTTCTGGTGTTAAATGTTTTTCATGTTACCGCCATAATTTTAGTATCTTTATACCTTTATTTGCTCTTTTTAAAACATTTATTGAAATTATAGTTGGGATAATAGGCTTACATAGTTAAAGTTCAGTAGGTGTAAATACTGCATACTAACTACAGCACATACCATAGTTGTGAGTTTGATTCCCAGGAGGGGTTGTGCAGGAGGCAGCCGATGGATGTTTTTCTCTCCCTAAAATTAATAAAAAAGAAAAAGAATATGAATGAAAACGTCTCCCCTTGACTCCCTTTTCCCAGTTTTACCGTTTCCCTCCCGAGAGGTAGCCACCAATATTTCTAATTTCTTGTATATCCTGGAAATAAATATCTTTTGCATATACAAACATGCCACACACATGCATACAGGTGCACATGTAATAACAAAATATTTACCCTTCCATCCCTACTGTTTCCAGTGTTTGATAAGTTACTATTTTTAGTTTCCTATTGGTTATCATTTTAGTTTCCTATTGGTTATCATTTGATAAGTTACTATTTTTAGTTTCCTATTGGTTATCCTATTGGTAATATGAGAATGCCTGTCTTTTTTATTCTATCAACAGTAGTCAGTATCTTAATTCCTTTTATGTAAAAGAAGAATATCTGGAACCCTGCCATTCCATTCTCCCCTCTTTATCCTCTCTAATAAGTAGACTTAATGTTATAAATACGAAAATATCACTCAGTGTAGGACCAAGTAGTATGCATAGATGACATTCCTTCTCTATACTTAACTGAGTTATAATCTTGAGCCTCTTAAAAAAAACAATGTTCTAGTGTCTAGGTCAAATGGTTTTTTTTACATTCCATCAAACGCTTAAAATCATTATCATAGCTTAGTTTGCTTCATATTTAAATTGTAACTTTCTTATATGGCTTTTTTTTTTTCATCTTGGAGTTTCTTTTTTTTTTTTTTTTTTAATATATTTTATTGATATTTTGCAGAGAAGAAGGGAGAGAGATAGAGAGCTAGAAACGTCAATGAGAGAGAAACACCAACCAGCTGCCTCTTGCACACCCCCTACCGGGGATGTGCCCGCAACCAATGTACATGCCCTTGGCTGGAATCGAACCTGGGACCTTTCAGTCCGCAAACTGACGCTCTACCACTGAGCCAAACCAATTTCGGCATCATCTTGGAGTTTCTAATTGCCTTTTTTCCCCTTGTTGACAAAAGAATGATGGGCCTTCAACATATCCTCAAGTTTATCCAGCCTCTCAGTCATGCTACCTGTTGCCTGGAGTTCATTTTCCCCCCAAAAGACATCCCTCCTGGAGCTCTCCATCCTCCTGCTCCAGTCTGGAGTGGTTGCTCTTTAGGCCTGATGTTCAGCTCTCAGCCTGGGACTTCCCTACACTGTCCTCCTGGGTTGGACCCACTGTTTCCTGGATCCCATGTCTTCCTCTTTCTTGGGTTTTCTCCCTTATTTTGCTGGAATGCATAATCAGGTAATTTTCTTAACAATGGGCACATGGGAGTTGTGTACATTCTGAGTCCTTGCATGTCTAAAATTGTCTTTATTCTGCCCTCATATTTGATTGATGATTCGGCTAAATATAGATTTCTAAATTCATATTCTCAGAATTTTGAAGATATTGGTTCATTGTCTCTAGTATCCCATGTTTCTAAAGACAAGACTAATACCAGTTTGATCCCAATTATTTGTAGATGACTTGTTTTTTTCTTTCTGAAGGCTTTTAGGGATATTCTGTTTAACTTTTGATTATTTGAAATTTCACAAGGGTGTGTCTGGTATGGAACTTTTCTCATTCATCTTATCAGTACTCTAAGATTTTTTTTTACCATGAGATTTAGGTATTCAGCTCAAGGAAATTTTCTTCCATTATTTCTTTGATAATATCTTTCCTTTCATGTTTTCTGTTCTCTCTGGGACTTCAGGTCGTCATATGGTAGACCTCATAGGTTGGTTATCTGTTCCTCTTATATTTTCTCATCTCTCTGCCTTTCTCTCTCTCCCTTCCATCAGTCTTTCTCTGTGTGTGTGTGTGTGTCTCTCTCTCTTTTCACTTTGCCTTAGGAAGATTTCCTCAACTATATCATCCAGCTTTTTTATTGAGAATTTTTTTCAGCAATCATATTTTGAAATGATATATGATTATTTTGATTATTCTTTCTTATTTTGATTATTCTTTTTCATAGAATTTCTGTTCTTGTTTTTAAAATCTCTTATGTTCCCTCAATTTTTCTTTCTTCCTGCATCGGTTTTTCTATTAAATGCTGCTAGTTTTCCAAGTGTAGTTGGTTTCTTTGGTTGTCTGTTTCTACTTAAGAACGAAGAACCTGGTGGCTTGGAGTGCATTTTCTCTCCCTCTACCATTGTATATGAGAACAGGAGATTTGACTGGAGGTTCTGAGTACATGGGCAGGGCAAACTTTGCTTTAGGATGTTTGAAGAAGGTGCTCGTTGTCAGGCTGTGGCCCCCATTGGCCAGAAAAAGGGGGGGTAGATGTTACTCTAGGATGCCCAGAATGAGGACCTCGGTTCTCAAACACTTTAAGTTCTTTACAGAAAAATCCTTCAGGGTGCATTGTGTGAGGTGTGTAGGAGAATAAAGGGACTGATTCTTATTCATGAATACAGATCTTTGTTTAGTTCCATTTCTTCAGCCCTGGTTCTTACTTCTGTTCTCTATCAAATGTGCTCACATCAAATCAGAGTCTTTCTTGGATCACTCTAGGCAGAGAAGCTCTGCCTAGAGTGATCCAAGCCCTCTCATGGCATATCCTAGACCAGTGCATCCAGTTCAGAAGTTTCTAGCCACCTATTATTGAACATTGAAATAGGCTAATTTGAATTGAGATGTGCTGTAAGTGTAAAATATACTCCAGATTCTGAAGACTTAGTACAAAAAAAGAAAGACATATTCATAATAACGATTATATGTTGCAATGATAATATTTTTCATATGTTGAGTTAAATAAAATAGAGTGCTAAAATTAATTGTATCTATTTTTTAATGGGCTGTTAGACATTTTTAATATTTATTGTTGAAAGTACGTCCCCTTTTTGCCCTCATTGACCTCTTCCAGCCTGGCCCCCGGAGAAATTTAAATAACATGTGTGACTCTCCTATTTCTAGTAGACAGCTCTGCTCTGGACAATGGCCTCCTTCCTCATCTGTCAACATGTTTCCGTCCGCTTTCTAAATTTGTCAAAATCACTTGTGTACCCCCTCCCTTTTGTTTTGCTGATATGGATTTACTTCCTACCGCCATGTCTTTGGTGGAAAGGATGGGAGGGAATCTGCCATCTTGCGTGAAAAGCTGCTTCTAACTTGTGACTGTCAGAGCAGTCCCTTGCTGTTACCACATACTTTAATTGATCTGTAGTTCTTCTTAGAGGCAAAATCAGGGAGATTTTAAGTACTGGCTCTTAAGTTGGACTCTGAATTCCTTGTGTATTCATGTAAGTGCCCACCCTCTTATTCCCACAGGGAATCCTGAAGAGTGTTTTGGGAATCCCATTTCAGTCTTCTTTCCTGTCTCATAGAATCACTGGCCCATTTCTTTTTCTAACAAAATTATATCAATATATTCTGAGGCATGTTGGGGGTTGTTGCAAAAATTAAGAGAGCACTTATGAAAACACTAGCATAATGCCTGGTTGAACATAGGGAATCAATATAAGCTATGTAACTTAAGGCAAGTTAAGGATATTCAGGCTCACAGAGATTAAGTAACTTGCCTTAAATAATAACATTAGTAAGTGGCAGAGCTGGGATTTTAATACTGGCCTATTTGACCCCAGAGGTTATGTTCTCAACCAAATTCTCTAAGTTGTCTTGTTTAATCTTACCCCAGGGAAAATGGTAGCATCTCCATTTTATTTTATCTCTCTATATATATAAAAGCCTAAGTGACCAAATGACCGGTCACTATGATGCACACTGACCACCAGGGGCAGACGCTCAACACAGGAGCTGCCCCCTGGTGGTCAGTGTGCTCCCACAGCTGGAGTGCCACTCAGCTGATGGACCCAGTCCGGGTAGCCCACCAGCCTAGTGGCAGCCACTCCCTCCCTCAGTAGTCCTGCAGATCCAATATCTGGAGAACGGGCCAGGCACCGATGGACTGGCCAGCGCCTCCTGCACGAAGCCACCGGCCTCCTGGAAGTCAGCTTCAGGAACTGTGGCCACTTCCCCTCCCTAGAAGTTCCACAATGAAGAAATGATATAAAAGTGGCCACCAGGTGGCTCCCGACAACCAGCACAAACATCAGTGGGATGGATCTGGATCCCAGGCTGCAAGGCTGTCCCACCACCTTCCCCCCCCAACACACACACATACCCCTCAGGATGGGCGGCAGACGCAGGGCTCCCAGCTGGCAAGGGCTACTGCTGTGGCGGAGCCTCTTCCAATCAGGACTGACTGGGCCGAACCTACAGTAAGCACAACGGGGCCGTGATGAGTGGGAGGAGCAGTGAGCATTGGACTCTCAGTTTCGGCCCAATCCCCGCAGGCCACTCAGAGGGATCCCACCCGTGCACAAATTTGTGCACCGGGTCTCTAGTTTTTAAATATAATAAATACTCATAGTATTTATTGATCTCAAAGAGAGAGAGAGAAACATCAATGCTTAATATAGTTTTATTGATTTCAGAGAGGAAGGAAGAGAGAGAGAGAACCATCCACAATGAGAGAGAATCATGGATCGACTGCCTCCTGCAAGTCCCCCACTGGGGATCGAGCCCACAACCCGGGCTTGTGCCCTTGATCAGAATCGAACCTGGGGCCCTTCAGTTCCCAGGCAGATGCTCCATCCACTGAGCCAAACTGACCAGGGTGATGATGAGAATCTTTGATCGGTTGTCTCTTGCATGCCCCCTACTGAACCCCAGGCATGTGCCCGAACTGGGAATGGAACGGTGACCTCCTGTTTCATGGGTCGACACTCACTGAGCCACACCAGCTGGGCAGCATCCCCATTGTATAGAGTAGAAAGCAAAAACCCAAAGAAGCACATTGCCCAAGGACACCCATTTCCCTTGGAACCTCAGAAAACAGGAAATTACTCTTGATAAGAAAATGTAGCATGTTCAATGACCCTGACTTCTGGGTCTGAGGATCTGGGGAAATTGAGAGGGCCCACGCTAAAAAAGGAAATGCTTGCAAAGAACACCTACTATGATGTTCCATATGCTGTGCTAGGCATTTACCCACTTTGAATAACTATGTACCCTCTTGGCTATGGGTTCGTCTAGTTTTCCCTTCAGGTAAGAGGAGCCAGACACTCAAAACACACTTGACTAATTAGCTCCAGCCATAACCTAAGAGTACTGCTCAGAGGAAGGGATTTGACTTTTCCAAGGACCCATTTCAGTGCATAGTACACAAATATTGTTCCTGACCTGCCCTAAGAGCTAACATATGTACCCAGCAACTTACACTTCTGTGCTGTGTACATTTAAAATAAATTACTCAGTATTTATTATCTGTCCTGATCTTTGGTACCAGACTGCCCTGGGATCAATCCCAGCTCTATTACTTCCTTACTAATTGTGAACTTGGGGAATCCACATTACCTCTCTGAGCCGAAAGGGCACAAAACAACAGGACCGAATGCACAGTGTTCTTAGGAGGAAAAAAGCGAATGCTTGTAAAGTACTCAAGCCCATGTCTGGAGCATAGGTGGTACCCAATTACTGTAGGAATACTGTTCGTAGGCTGTGAGGGCAGGGACACGTCTCTTGCTTCCTGTTATGTCCCTGGTACTCGGCACACACTCAATGCCAATACATGTGATGAATGACTGATCATTGGATGGGAGGACGGATGTTAGAAGGATGAGTCAGTTCCCCCTTCAGAAAATTCAGGAGAGCGATGGCCCAGGGCGGGAAGAAGGACTCTCTCAGTGGCTGAGGGTTGGGATCCTGGCCCTCGGGCAGGCCTGTCCTCACCGCTGTCTTCCCCAGCAGGTTTGGGATGTACATTCCGTTCCTGCAGCTGAACTGTGACATCCGCAAGACAAACCTCTTCAGCCACATGGCCTCCGTGGGGCCCCGGGAGGCTGTCAGTGGCCTGGCGCGGAGCCGGGACTACCTGCTGACTCTGCGGGAGACGTGGAAGCAGCACACGCGGCAGCTGTATGGCCCGGACTCCATGCCCACCCACGCCTGCTGCCTGTCGCCCAGCCTCATCCGCAGCGAGGTGGAGTTCCTCAAGATGGACTTCAACTGGCGCATGAAGGAAGTGCTGGTCAGCTCCATGCTGAGTGCCTACTACGTGGCCTTTGTGCCTGTCTGGTTCGTGAAGGTGTGTAGGTCAACCCAGGGAGCCTCACCCTGCTGCCTTCTCCCCAGGAGACCTCCTGCTTGCATAATAACTACTGTTTTCTGTGAGATCCTGTGTGTTCTCTCAAGGGCTACAGAGACCGCTGCCTCTATTTTTAGAGTGGAAAAAACGAGGCTCATTGAACGGAAGTGCTCTGTACAGGGTCACCGAGCCCATGAGGAGGACATGCCTTGTTCATACTTGATAACAGAGAGCAGTGACTTGTGCTTTAATTTGGCTGCTTTGGTACAGGCATGTCACAAGGTCCTTCTTTATCATTAAATCGGAAAGTAGGATTCATCCAGGTCTGAGTGACAGCAGAAGCCTGTGCTCGCTCTCTAGCTTGTGTGGCTTTCTGGGAAAGTATCTTCCCAGCTGACTGTAGGCTTGAAACATGTATCCAAGGATGGACTGTACTGAGTAATTTGAGGTCGAGGTTTTAAAGTCTATTGAGCACCTACAATGTGATAGAGCGTTCATGGGCATTATAGTCCTCCAAATCCCCCTCAGAGGTGGTCGGTGGTTACTCTTCATTTAACAGATGAGGAAACGAGCATAGAGCGGTGAAATGACTTGCCCAAGGTCACACAGTTAATAAGCAGCAGAGCCAAGATTTGAACTCATGTTCGTTGGACTCCAGAGTCTGTGCCTGGACTCAGGAGCCTGTGCTCTGGCTCAGAGTGGTGGGCAGTGGGAGCAGTTTTTCTTTGTAAAGGACTAAGTAGTGGGCACAGGGTCTAAGCCCATGTTTAAGCCACCTTTGTTGGGTGTTAGATCCTTGGTTTCACGTCACCCTGAGTTCTCTCCAGGTTTGATCTTCAAGGGACATAGAATCAGGGAAGGGGGAAGGAGTGAGGACAGTATGGGCATCCCAGGCCTTTCCCACCTCTTCCTGCCCCCAGAACACACATTACTACGACAAGCGTTGGTCCTGCGAGCTCTTCCTCCTGGTGTCCATCAGCACCTCCGTGATCCTCATGCAGCACCTGCTGCCTGCCAGCTACTGCGACCTGCTGCACAAGGCCGCTGCCCACCTCGGCTGCTGGCAGAAAGTGGACCCGGCGCTGTGCTCCAACGTGCTGCAGCACCCGTGAGTTGCCCTACCCTTCCCTGCCCGACCCTAACCCTCCTGGTCAGTGTCTGGAGTCACTCACCTCTTTGCTCATCAACGCGTTCACTCAGTCAGCAAAAGGTTATTGAGCATGTCTTGTTTGCTAGACCTTGTGACCAGAGTGGGGTATGGCAGGGTCCAAGATGGACATGTTCCCTGTCCTTAGGTAACTTGTAGTGTGCTCGAGATGAGAGGGGGGGCAGGCAGTAAATTCATGGACTCGTGGACTTTCTCATTCACTATTATTTATTCACCCATTGACTGACTTGCTCATGCATTCATTCCTCACTTCACTCCCTCTACCAACTGTTTACTCATCCATTCAGTCATTGGGTCACCTACTCTTTGAGCAGACATTGATTTCTACCTAATCCATACCAGGCTTGGTGCTATCTATTGGACAAAGAAGCTTGGCTTTGACCCATAGGCAAAGGAGGGCTGTCCAGGGTTTTGAGTAGTGGAGGGGCCAGTTCCAAGGTGTATCAAACTGCTAACAAGATACGGTGTTGTGTTAGCTGATGGTGAATCTTGGCCAGGGAAGAAAAAGCAGGGAGGAAATTCCTGAAACGGGATCCTTGAGGCGTTCAGTCTGGTGGGGGCGGTAGCTGTGAACATAAATAGGATGAGGGACGTGAAAGAGGCCCAGTTCTAGAATATTATTGCACCCAGAACAGAGGCAGAAGTTACTCTGCTTGGGAACCCTGAGGTGCTAGGCTGTCTTCCCCCAGCCTGGCTCATTCTTCATGGTGTCCAGCATTTCTGCAGCCTTTCACCACAGTGCGTTTCATCCAGGTTACATGGATTTTCCTGCCTGTGTCGCCCCAATAGCCTGAAAGCTTCTCAAGGCAGAGGCCACTTCAGTATCACATCCGAGTCATGGGCCAAGCACAAGGCCTGGCCGAGAGGAGGCCACTAGGACAGGTTTGTAGAGGTAGGCCCACCTCGAAGATGCAAAGGGAGCCGAAACCGGTTTGGCTCAGTGGATAGAGTGTCGGCCTGCGGACTCCAGGGTCCCGGTTTCGATTCCAGTCTAGGGCATGTACCTTGGTTGCGGGCACATCCCCAGTAGGGGGTGTGCAAGAGGCGACCGATGGATGTTTCTCTCTCGATGTTTCTGACTTTCTATCCCTCTCCCTTCCTCTCTGTAAAAAATTAATAAAATATATTAAAAGGGGGGGGGGGAAGAGATGCAAAGGGAGGCCACAGAGTTGCAAGCCTCCTGGTGCTGGCCCTCTGTGCCAGTCAGGCCCTTCTTAGCCTCTGTCCAGGAGGTCCAGGAAAGGGGATGGGCATTGCCAAATGGGCCAAAAGGGGGCTCTGAAGAGAGGAGGAGCAGAAAGATAGAACATAGAAGACTATGAGGATAAACCTGTCTGTAGCTCACCACAACCTGCATGTAACATCCAGGCGCGCTCACACGGCTTCCCACCTGATGAGCTGGGTCCTGCCAGCTTTTTCTACCTTATCTCTTACCCCAGCTCATCCTCCGCTCTAGCCAGACCAAACCTTCAAATCCTTAAACTCTGGATGCATTTTTCTATCTAGGTTTTTGCACATGCTGCATCTTCTTTCTGCAACACCCTTCCTGACTTTCTTTTCCTGATTAATTCCTATCCATTCTGAAGCACTTGGCTTCCTCCAGAAATGCTTTACTGTCCATCCCAGTGCTCCCCTGTGCTCATACAATCCCATAATACCATGATCATTATACCTGGCACTTTCTGCTGTGTTTGCCCAGCGACTTACCTGTCATTCCAGGACTAAAGCTCCTGGAGATCAGGGTCCTTGCCTATCAAGCTCTCAGCCATCTCTCATTCCTAGCTGAGTGCCTTATACTGGGTCCACAGTAAATTTTTTTGTGCATAGAACTTTTTTTTTTAACTTAAACATTTTATTGACTTGAGAGAAGAAGGAAGAGGGAGAGAGAGATAGAAACATCAATGATGAGAGAGAGAATCATTAATTGGCTTCCTCCTGCATATGCCCCACACTGGAGGCCGAACCTGCAACCCGGACATGTGCCCCAACCAGGAAGTGAACTGTGACCTTCTGGTTCATAGGTTGTCGCTTAATCACTGTGCCATACCGCTGGGCAGTCTTTTTTTTTTTTTTTTTTTTTTTTTTTTTTTATAATATATATTTTTATTGATTTCAGAGAAGAAGGGAGAAGGAGATAGATAGAAACATCAATGACAAGAGAGAAGCAGGAAGGTGATGTCATAACAAGAAACCTATTTTTAGGTATTTCCCAAATTGAAAGGAAGACAATGCACACATGCAGAACAAGGACAGCCATGACAGCAGATCAGCTGCCTCCTGCCCATCCCCTACTCAGGATCGAGCCTGCAACCCGGGCATGTGCCCTGACCGGGAGTCAAACCATGATCTCCTGGTTCACATGTCAATGCTCAACCTCTGAGCAGAGCTATACTCTTTTTTTTTTTTTTTTAATTGATTTTTTGCAGAGAGGAAGAGAGAGGGATAGAGAATTAGAAACATCGATGAGCCGAGACCGGTTTGGCTCAGTGGATAGAGCGTCGGCTTGGGGACTGAAAGGTCCCGGGTTCAATTCCGGTCAAGGGCATGTACCTTGGTTGCGGGCATATCCCCAGTAGGGGGTGTGCAAGAGGCAGCTGATCGATGACTCTATCTCATCGATGTTTCTAACTCTCTATCTCTCTCCCTTCCTCTCTGCACAAAAATCAATAAAATATATTTAAAAAAAAAAAAAATGCCGAGACCGGTTTGGCTCAATGGATAGAGCGTCGGCTTGGGGACTGAAGGATCCCGGGTTCGATTCCGGTCAAGGGCATGTACCTTGGTTGCGGGCATATCCCCAGTAGGGGGTGTGCAAGAGGCAGCTGATCGATGACTCTCATCGATGTTTCTAACTCACTATCTCTCTCCCTTCCTCTCTGTACAAAATAAAATATATTTAAAAAAAAAAAAAAAAAAAAAAACATCGATGAGAGAGAAATATCAATCAGCTGCCTCTTGCACACCCCCCACTGGGGAAGTGCCCGCAACCAAGGTTCATGCCCTTGACCAGAATCGAACCCGGGACCTTCCAGTCCGTAGGCCGACGCTCTATCCACTGAGCCAAACCGGTTTTGGCTTTTTTTTTTTTTTAAAGGTAAAATTTATATACAATTAAACTTAAAATTTTTAAGATTTTTTAAATTGATTTTAAAAGAGAAAGGGAGAGAGAGAGAAACATCTATATGGGAGCAAAACATCAATTGGCTGTCTCCTGCATGCCCTCCACCAGGGATTGAGTCCCCAACCTGGGCAAGTGAGCTGACTGGGAATCAAACCAGCAGCCAACCTTTCAATGCATGGGATGCTGCCCATCCAACTGAGCCACACCAGCCAGAGCTGAAAAGTATAAATCTTAAAATGTATAATTCTTTGAGTTTTGATAAAGATCTGTCACCCATGTAATCTAGCCTCCGTCAAGATACAGAACAGCTGAAATAGGTTTGGCTCAGTGGTAGAGCGTTGGTCTGCGGACTGGAAGGTCCCAGGTTCAATTCCGGTCAAGGGCATGTATCTGGGTTGCGGGCACATCCCCAGTAGGGGGTGTGCAAGAGGCAACTGGTCGATGTTTCTCTCTCATCAACGTTTCTAGCTCTCTCTCTCTCCCTTCCTGTCTGTGAAAAATCAATAAAATATATATATATATATATTTTTTTTTTAAAAGATACAGAACATTCCCAGCCCCTCAGAAAATGTCCTAGTGATCCTTCCCAGTGTCCACCCCAGCTGTCTTTTCACTTTCTTTCATAATCAGTTAGTTTTCTGTTCTGCAACTTCATGTAAATGAAATCTTGAGTCCAGTTCTTTAATTCAGCATATTGTCTGTGAGATTAATTTATGTTATCGCATGTAAATAACGTTTTTTAAATGAATGAATCAACAAGGCAGGAGCATGAGATTGAGCTTCAGATGAAGAAGATTCACCTAGGGAGGGAAAAAGATTTTCTTGACACTCCCTCTGGCTTTAACATAAGCCCTAACCTTGCGACTGCCAGTAGTTAATTTCTCATGGTTCTTACCCCATTTTACAGAGGAGACAACTGACACCCAGAAAGGGGAACTCATACTGCTAAGCCAGAAATGAGAGCAGAGCCCTGGTGGTTTCTGCTCATGCCCAGTCTTCGGGTGCCCCCTTTTGTGGGTGAGCTGGGCATAAAGGGCATTGTTGGGCTTTGCCTGCAGGTGGACTGAAGAATGCATGTGGCCGCAGGGCGTGCTGGTGAAGCACAGCAAGAACGTCTACAAAGCAGTGGGTCACTACAACGTGGCCATCCCCTCCGATGTCTCCCACTTCCGGTTCCACGTGAGTCTCTTCCTCTGGGAAGCAGGGTTGGGGCCTGATCTAGAGGGCAGGGGGATCAGAGGGGCAGGAAGGGGATATCATAACAAGAGAGTTATTTTTAGGTATTTCCCAAATCCCAAGGAAGACAGTGCACGCATGCAGAACAAGGACAGCCCCGTCAACTAGCACTTCAAAACTGCAGCTCACTTGGTAGCATATCATTGAGATACTGGGTGGAGGTGGGAAAGATGATACAATAAAAGGAAGGGTTCTTAGCGATGAAAACAATAACTATCATCATTCCTACTGTATGCCAGACACTGTGGTAAGCACTTCCCATGCACCCTTCCACCGGCCTATCAGGATTTGTGTGTATGGGAGAAACGCCAGGGCTCTCCCCATTCTGATACTAAAATCAGCTTAGAGAGTTTCAGTTGTTCAAGGGTGCCTTCCTGGGAAACTTGAAAACTGGAGGTAACACTCTGGAAAAGGGCTGTTCAAAATAAACTAGGCTAGTGGTCTCCTTTTTATTTATTTTTGCTATCAAAATCCTTGTCCAATACAGTCACAGACTAAAGTCCAGTGTATAGGACCTCATGGCACTGCTCTGTTGGCAAGGGTTGGAACTCCTTTCACTCCCACTCACCGCTGCTATCGTCCCTAAATTAGCCTCCTCGGAATCTGGTGCTCTAAGGAACACGGTCCGAGAAGTCATTGATCTGGGTAATCTCTTCCTTTCACTGTAGAGAAACCTAGGGCCCAGACAGGAAGGTACTTATTGTACAGATTAGGCCCAAGGTCCCAGAAGCCTCTCAGGTTCCAAAGCTGAGCCTGGCATACTGGTCTCTTGGACTCCCCATTTCCTGCTACTTCTCCTATCCTGTAAGCAGTTCCTAAGGTTTAGGTACCTTTCCTCTTGCAAAATCTGGATCCCTAGACATTGATCACTCTTTTGAATTGACCAGAAATTTTTTCCTGTACTCTACCTTGCCTGGAATGTCCCCTGGAAGCTTCTGGCCTAGCTGGCCAATGCTATGCATGAAGTAATTGGTGACTCAGGCTATAGAGTCTGTAATTCTGCCTGTATAATAAAAACCTAATATGCTGAGTATCCAATCATCTGGTCGGCCATTCAACCAACCAAAGCGTAATCTGCTAATGATATGCTAAGGCTGCTCAACTGCTTGCTATGACATGCACTGACCACCAGGGGGCAGACAGTCAACCTGTTGACCAGTTGCTATAATGTGCACTGATCACCAGGGGGGCAGATATTCTGACAGATAGGTTAGCTTGCTGCTGGGGTCCAGCCAATTAGGACTGAGCAAGACAGGCCAGATACGCCCTGGAGCCCTCCCGAAGCCCCTCGCTGGCTGGCCAACCTCCCACATCCCTCCCTGAACTGATCATGCACCGATGGGGTCCCTCCGCCTGGCTTGCGACCTCTTGCAATTCAGGGGATGTCAAAGAACCACTTTCATCCCAATCCCGCGGTCCAGGGCGAATTCATGCACCAGGCCTCTAATATGTCATAAGATTCTAATTGGTTCAGGTCTTACAATACCCAGGAAGATCATATACAAAATATGGTCTGATTTTAAACCAGAAAAAAGTTTGAGAGAGCAACCAAGACCTCCTAAGAAAAGCTTCCTGAGAAAGTAGAAGTTGAATAGGCTCTTAAACAACATTATGTGGGGAGCAGTAGTCTTGACAGAAGGAACACCACAAGCAAAGGCAGAGAGGGTGCAAAGTCAGTGCCCAACCGTCTGAAGTTTTCTTTCCCAGCCCACTCTGCATGGGGCCCCAAGAGCTCGCTCCCTTCACGGGCCCACCAAGAGGCCGGTTTCCGAGAGTGCTTTCCGGTCCATCCTACTCTTTCCCGGGCAGTTCTTTTTCAGCAAACCTCTGCGGATCCTCAACATCCTCCTGCTGCTGGAGGGTGCTGTCATTGTCTACCAGCTGTACTCCTTGATGTCTTCCGAAAAGTGGCACCAGACCATCTCACTGGCGCTCATCCTCTTCAGCAACTACTACGCCTTCTTCAAGCTGCTGCGGGACCGCCTGGTACTGGGCAAGGCCTACTCGTACTCGGCCAACCCCCAGAGGGACCTGGACCACCGGTTCTCCTGAGCCCAGGGCAAGCCCAGGGACGGCATCCAGGCTTCAGCCTGGGGATCCCTGGGAAGGGGCTGTTGGGGAGGGGGGAGGAGGGGAAAATCCCAAAAACTGACAAAAAAAAAAAACCACCAGAGCTTTGTATTTTTGTTACATACTGTTTCTTTCTTTGATAATTGATATGATTATGAGGAAAAAAAGTCCTATTTTTATACTCCTAATAAGCTTGTGTCTTGAGTTTCTTTCCCTTCTTGCCTGTCAGGCAGAGTGCAGTGGTGTGTGATTCTGGGCCAGGAAACCCCATGTGCGTCTTCTGGGGACTGTGGGCTCTGCCTTCTCCAGTGGATGGGAGACAAGGCACCAGAGGTCATGGTAGCAATGAAAACTGCTGCTTACTGAATGCTCACTGTGTATCAGATGCTGCTTTATGTGTATTGCAGGCCTTGTCTTAATCCAACCTTTATGACAACCTTAGGAGGTGGGTGCTGTCACTCTAGTCTATAGATGAAGAATGAGCTCAGAGAGCTATAGTGACTTGCCCAAGGTAACATAGCTAGGATAGAACTGGGCAAAAAACAACAACACAAAAACACAAAAAACACAAACCCTCCAAAGTATGACACCACAATCCTAGCAGAATGTGATGTCCTGATTCAGCATGCAGTTATGGCGACCTGTTCTGTGCCAGGTGTTGGAGATGGTGAGGATGCCAAGACACAGAAACAAGTCATACTGCACTGGGATGGTTTTAACAGTTACAAGGTACACAGTAGCACAAGGGAAACAATGTTTAAAATATATTTTTTATTGATTTTTCACAGAGAGGAATGGAGAGGGATAGAGAGCTAGAAACATCGATGAGAGAGAATCATCGATCAGCTGCCTCCTGCACAACCCATTCAGGGGATGTGCCCGCAACGAATGTACATGCCCTTGACCAGAATCGAACCTGGGACCCTTCAGTCCGCAGGCTGATGCTCTATCCACTGAGCCAAACCGGGGTTTCGGCAAGGGAAACAATGTTTAATGTTCTCTGGCCTTCTTGGAGGAAGGGATAGCCTGAGTTGCATCAGCTACTTCCTAGGTGGACAAGAGGGCAAAGGCACTTGAAGCAGAGAAAAGGGCCTGTGCGATAGCACAGATTAGGGATGTCCTGGTGTATTTGGGGAGGGTAACCAGGATGTGGTTCCTTAGAACAGAACAGATAAGGAAAGTGGGGTGGGATGGGGCTGGAAAGGTACAGGGAGCCTGGGAGGATCAATGGCTCCAGATACGAGTTTCTGAGCAAGGCCACGTGCTAGAGTGGAAACATAAAGCGGCTTGGAGGGCCATCTGCTCCCTATGGGGCATAACTCGTGCTGGGAGGAGAGACAGTCAAAGCTGCACATCTAGTCTGCCTGAGTTCCCTGAGCCCTTTGGCAGCAGGATATGCAGATGAGTCCACAGAGGTATATGGCAGAGACACTGCCACAAATGTTTTTGGCGTCTTTGTTGATGCAGGCATTATACCAGGCACTGAGACAGCTACAAAGATGAGGAAGATAAAATATAAGAATGCCCAAACCTGTAGAGAAAATTTTTTTTAGTTATATAGCATTTGCTTCATTTCATTTATGTGGGGAGTTGTGTGTTTTTATTTATTTTTTTATTTAAAAAATATATATATTTTATTGATTTTTTACAGAGAGGAAGGGAGAGAGATAGAGAGCTAGAAACATCGATGAGAGAGAAACATCGACCAGCTGCCTCTTGCACACCCCCTACCAGGGATGTGCCCGCAATGTACATGCCCTTGACCGGAATGAAAAACACACAACTTGCCGACGCTCTACCACTGAGCCAAACCGTCTCCTGCGAGTTGTGTGTTTTTAAAAATATATTTTTACTGATTTCAGAGAGGAAGGGTGAGGGAGAGAGAGAGAAACATCAATGATGAGAGAGAATCATTGATTGGCTGCCTCCTGCATGCCCCCTATTGGGGATCCAGACTGAAACTTAGGCATATGCCCTTGATATAATTGAATCCAGGACCCTTCATTCCATAGGCTGACCCTCTATCCTCTGAGCCAAACCAGCTAGGGCTTGAGAATTTTTGTAAGAGTTTATTGAGGCCTCATGGCTCTCCTCCGGGTCCTGTGCCACCTGCAGTTGCCAGGGTTTGTTGGGCTACTTTGTCCTGTGAAGTTGGGTGGGCACAGCCACAGCTAACCTGTAGCAGGTTGGGGTTCCAGCCCCACCCCACCTATAGGGGTGAGAGCTGATACTGACGGACCTTGGGCATGTGAAGTTTGTCTTCAACATCTTGGGTGGGGGGGGTGCCTTGGCCTGAGTTCTAAGCGCAGGCCTGCGCCTCCCAGGAGACTCCAGAGACAGTGCACCCAATGAACAGCTTCAGGCCACATGGAAAAACCACCAACCACCACCACAGGCACACGTCAAGAGGCAGGCTCAAGCCAAAACCGGTTTGGCTCAGTGGTTTGGAGCGTCGGCCTGCAGACTGAAGGGTGTCAGGTTCGATTCCGGTCAGGGGCATGTGCCTTGGTTGCGGGCACATCCCCAGTGGGGGGTTGTGCAGGAGGTGGCTGGTCAGTGGTTCTCTCTCATTGATGTTTCTGGCTCTCTGTCCCTCTCTCTTCCTCTCTGTAAAAAAATCAATAAAATATATTAAAAAAAAAAAAAGAGAGAGAGAGAGAGACAGACAGACAGACAGACAGACAGACTCGGGGCAACAGAGCCCTGTTGAAGTGTATGCTGCTCTGGGGGGCAGGCCCCTGCACACCTGATCTTTCACGGTGGTTGGTGGTGGCAGCCAGTCCTTGCAGCAGATTGGCCTGGGGGTAAATCCCTCCCATTGATGTGCCAACAGCAATCAAGATTCAACTATAACAAGAAGGAATACCTAGCCCACGGGTGGGGAAGGGTGCAACTAGAGCGCCCAGCTTGGGTGATCAAGGAGGCTGGCCCACTGGGTCCTACAGGACATCTACAATAGGCCACTCTACCAGGCCCGGGAGACACAGCAGCTATACCTACTGCATAGGAACAAACACGGAGGCTGCCAAAGTGGGGAGACAAACACGTCCCAAACGAAAGGACAGAAAAAAGAACCCAACAAAACGGAGACAAGCAATCAACCTGATGCAGAGTTCAAAACACTGGTTATAAGGATGCTCAAGGAACTTAATGAGAACCCCAACAGCATAAAAGAGTCCTGGCCCGGCCACTGTGGGTCAATGGTTGAGCATCAACCTATGAACCCGGAGGTCACGGTTTGACCCTGGTCATGATATGTGTCCGGGTTGTGGGCTCGACCTCCAGTGTGGAGCATGCAGGAGATAGCTGATCCATGTCTCTCTCACTTTTTTTTCTTTTTCTTTCTTTCTTTTTTTTTTTTTTAAGAAACAGCTCTAGCTTAATGGATAGAATGTCGGCCTGTGGACTGAAGAGTCCTGGGTTTGATTCCGGTCAAGAGTACATGCCTGAGTTGTGAGCTCAATCCCCAGTAGGGAGCGTGCAAGAGGCAGCCAATCAATGGTTCTCTCTCATCATTGAGGTTTCTATCTCTCCCTCTCCCTCCCTCTCTAAAATCAATAAAAATAAAAATATTAAGAAAAAAAGGAAATAGAAATGAAGGATACACTGAAATAAATGAAGGATATACTGAAATAATGAAATAAATGAAGGATATAAACGAAATAATGAAGGATACACTGAAATATAATTTACAGGGAATCAACAGTTGAGTCCTTGAAACCGAGAAGCAAATCATTGACTTGGAATGTAAGGAAGTAAAAAACACTCATTCAGAAAGGAAAAAAGGATCCAAAAAAAAATGAGGATAGTATAAGGAGCCTCTGGGACAATTTCAAGCATACCAACTTTGCCATCATAGGGGTGCAGGAAGAAGAAGGGAGAAAGCAAGAAATTGAAAACCTATTTGAAAAAATAACAGACTTAACTGATTTTGCTCAGTGGCTAAAGTGTTGGCCTGTGAACTGAAGGGTCCCAGTTTGATTCCAGTCAAGGGCATGTACCTTGGTTGTGGGCACATCCCCAGTGTGCAGGAGGCAGCTGATTGATGCTTCTCTCTCATTGATGTTCCTAACTCTTTATCCTTCTCCCTTTCTCTCTGTAAAGAATTAATAAAAGTATATTTTTTTTAAAAAATAAAAAAAGAGAAAATTAGTTAATTATCTATAAGGTAACTCTTATAAGAATGTCAGCTCATTTCTCAAAAGAAACTGTAGGCCAGAAAGGATAGGTAAGAAATATTCAAAGTGCCAGGACCGGTTTGGCTCAATGGATAGAGCGTTGGCTTGGGGACTGAAGGGCCCCGGGTTCGATTCCGGTCAAGGGCATGTACCTTGGTTGCGGGCATATCCCCAGTAGGGGGTGTGCAAGAGGCAGCTGATCGATGACTCTCTCTCATTGATGTTTCTAACTATCTCTCTCCCTTCCTCTCTGTACAAAAATCAATAAAATATATTAAAAAAAATATTCAAAGTAATGACAAGCAAGGACCTACAACAACTAAGATTACTCCACCTTCAAAGCTATCATTTAGAATTGAAGCACAGATAGAGGCTTCACAGACAGGAAATAGCTGCCCTGGTTAGTGTCATCCAGTGCCCCAAAAATTTGCTCATTTGATTCTCAGCCTGTGTATCAGATTGAAATTTGGGGACATTACCTAAGGAGGGACAGTAGGAAGTTATGAAGTTGTTAAACATAGATATGACATGATAAGGTATCTGCTTTTTTGTTGTTGTTAATCCTCACCTCTATTGATTTTTTTTTTTTTTTCTGAGAGAGAATGGAAGGTGCCTCCCACATGCCCTTGTCTGTAATTGAACCTGAGACCCTTTAGCCCACGGCTCTATCCACTGAGCCAAACCAGATAGGGCAAGGTATCTGCTTTTAAGAAGATGATTAGATTGTGAGTGGGAAAACTTGGGGCCAGGGAACCAGTGAGGAGGCAGGCAAAACAGAGCAGAAGATACTGAAGAGGTCTGACCTTGAGGAGTGGCAGTAGAAAGAGAAAGATACTAGTATTCCCTTTCCCAACCCTGAGTTTTAAAGTCAGCTTTTTTATTCATTTATTTTTAATATATTTTATTGATTTTTTTACAGAGAGGAAGAGAGAGATAGAGAGTAAGAAACATTGATGAGATGCTGGGACCAGTTTGGCTCAGTGGATAGAGCGTCAGCCTGCAGACTGAAAGGTCCCGGGTTCGATTCCGGACAAGGGCATGTACCTTGGTTGTGGACACATCCCCAGTGGGGGGTGTGCAAGAGGCAGCTGGTCGATGTTTCTTTCTCATCCACGTTTCTAACTCTCTGTCCCTCTCAATTCCTCTCTGTGTAAAATCAATAAAATATATTTTAAAAAAAGAAAAAACATTGATGAGAGAGAATCATCAATCAGCTGCCTCTTACACACCCCCTACTGGGGATGTGCCCGTAATCTAGGTACATGGCCTTGACTAGAATCAAACCTGGGACCTTTCTGTCGGCAGGCCAACGCTCTATCCACTGAGCCAAACCGGTTTTTAGTTGTTTCCCTTAACTGGCGAGCACAGAAGTAGAGCTGCTGGCAATTTGTTGTGACAGAATCCTGAAGCCCAGATCCCACATTCTGCTTCCAAAAGACAGCTTCCTCTTAGGACCAGTGACTTGAAGTCATAGCTTTCCTGTGTGTTGTGCTGAGGAACAGGACTGGCCTGTCATGCAAAGAGAGAGGCCTAATGTGTACCAGCCATAAAATGTCATGATTCAAAAGACATGACAACACTCAAGGCTCCCATTTTCTCATCTCTAAAAAGGGAAATCACTTTCCATGCTTTGTGTGACTCACAGACCTGTTCCTTGGTTTAGTCATTCAACAATTATGTACGGAGCACAGACCATGTGCCAGATACTGTAGTAGGTGTTGGGAGATAGTGATGAGAAATACAGAATTGACCTCTGTCCTCAGAGAACTTGTGAGAAAATAAGTGAAATATAGTAGCTCTGCCAACTATAAAGCACTGCACTGGTCTCATTTTTCTACTTTTTAACTCCCAATAAGATTGTAATCCTGTTTAACTCTTGACTTATTTTCTTATCTCTATATCCTTGAGCAAGTCATTCCGCCTCTTCAAGTGACTGTTTAATTTATATCCAGTGCAAGGTCTACGATTGGCTTTCATATCAACCTCTCTCCACCCACCCTTTTCACAGTGCATCCCTATTCCCCGCCTTTCGAAGCTGCAGCCCCTTTAAACGCGCTCCTGTGTGTGAGCTCCCCTGCAGGGCGGAGAGCGCGTATCTTCGCGGGGTTGCACGCGAGGTTGTTTGTCCGTTTGGGGCTGCCGTCCTGCGGGTCCGCCATATTGTCTGCTGAAGCTGCCGCCGAAGCCGCCGCCGCCGCCGCCGCCGCTGCCGCCGCCGCTGCCGCCGCCGCCAAGTAGGAGCGAGCGGAGCCGCGATGGGTGAGTGAGGAAACCAGGCACTGGGGACTCCAGCCGAGGCGGTCTCGGGGCTTGGGGTCCGGCGACAGCCTGTCTGCCATCCGCAGAGGATGTGTGAGGCCCCTCCAAGCAGGTTCTGGGGAGCAGCCAGGCCGGCAGCGCTGCTCGGGCCATGTAGGGACCGGGCTAGGGCCCCTGGCGGGGAGCAGCCTTCGGGGGCTGGTTCCGGGGAGGTTGCCACGCCTGAGCCCCCACGTGGTGTCCCTGGGCCGGCGCCACGCCGTGCCGGGGGCTAGAAAGGGGCCGACCCTCGGCCTGCGCGGCGGGGGCCGGGGCGCGGGGCCGGGCTCCCCGCCGCAGGCCCGGGCGGGGCCGCGGGAGCCTCCTCCCGGCGTGTGTCTCACCGACGCGCATCCTGACGGTGCCCAGTGGCTCCCCCGGACGGAGGGAAACCCTACCTGCGTGGCGGGCCGCGTCCTCCCTCTGGTGCGGAGACGCCAGGCGAGCCAGCTGCAGGCCCGCAGCCAGGGCAGCCATGCCAAAGGCGGCAGCGCGGGCGGCCGGAGGCCTGGAGAACTCCCCAGCCCGGGCGGAAATGGGGCGGTTCGGTGGGGCCGAGTGACAGCCTTCGGGGTGGTAGGAAACCAAAGGCCAACAACACCTTGTGGCCATCTGTAGGTCGGGGACTTGGGAGGAAAAAGCGACCTGTTGCTCTTTCTTAAGGGACTCCGGCTGGCAAGGCTTGTTTGTGCTCAGGGGAGCTACGATGGCAAAGCTTTTGGGCTTAGGGACAGAAACATCTGGTGTTTCCTCTCCAGAAAAAAAAAAAAAAAAAAAAAAAAGATTTGCTGAGCACTTTCTATGTGCAGGTATGGTTCTGAGTGTTTAGATGTCACGCTTTACTTACTATGCACACCCTAATGAAGTAGGTACTGCTGGCATCCCTATTTTACAGGTAAGGAAACTGAGGCTTCCAGAGGTAAGGTAACTTACCCAAGGTCACAGGGTGCCTAAAACGGTGATTTCGCCAGAACCCTCGTTATTAGCCTGGCCCCCTAGTGGTTGGGCTGGAAAAGGGTGAAAGAAAGCTTTTAACCAAAGTTGTAAGGGTGGGTGTTTTTTGCCAGCGGGACCACTTTGTAAGATCCCTGATCCTGAGAAAACAAATGATTACCTTGAGCTGCAAGGCAATGACTGCAGAATCAAGTCTGGTATCACAATCCCGCCTGTTGCTTCCTAGCTCTCATCCACTTAGGTGTCAGTTATACGTATGGAAAGCATCTAGCATATCCTTCATAAATGTTCTTTTTCTTTTTGAGTCTTCATTTCCTCATCTCCAGAAAGGGTAAGGAGGCAGTGTTATCAAGGTGTTTGAGAAACAAAAGATTTAACAGTGTTGAAAGCCTAGTAAGAGCTCCATAAGTATCAGAACGGATATTTTCCACCTTCAATAATGTTAGTTCCACCGAAACAGGTGGTAGAGCGTCGGTCTACGGACTGAAAGGTCCCGGGTTCGATTCCTGTCGGGGGCATGTACCTTGGTTGCGGGCACATCCCCGGTAGGGGGTGTGCAAGAGGCAGCTGGTCGATGTTTCTCTCTCATCAACGTTTCTGGCTCTCTATCTCCCTTCCTCTCTGTAAAAAAATCAATAAAAATATATTTAAAAAAATAATAATGTTAGTTCCTTTTTCTTAAGTGCTCTGGTTTCCAGAATCCTCTATTAAGGCTGATATGCCTTTCTTTGTAACTGCTGCTTTAAGTATTGAAAAATTTTAGGAGCTTTAATGTTACAGATTTTTAAAAAAATATTTTTTATTGATTTTTCACAGTGAGGAAGGGAAAGAGAGCTAGAAACGTCGATGAGAGAGAAACATTGACCAGCTGCCTCCTGCACACTCCCCACTGGGGATGTGCCCACAACCAACGTACATGCCCTTGACTGGGATCAAACCTGGGACCTTTCAGTCCGCAGACCGCCAAACCAGTTTTGGCTAATGTTACAGATATTGTATTGTCCTTCAAATTCAGGAATATTGATACCTCAAAGTGAAGGAGCTAATGTTTAGTTTAAGTTCAGTGAAATAAATTTGGTGGCGACTTACTCCCATTTTTACAGATTGAGAAACTACCTCAGAGAAGATAACACAGTAAGTAGTAAAGCCAGAAGTGAGATTCTTACCTGTTTTGCTGCACATAAACCTCTTGAAAGACTTAAGGTGTGAAGTAAAATAGTCCTTTTCCAGTAGATTTTGAAAGTGGAGCAACAAAACCTGACCAAAGACTTGAAAGGGGTTTTTCTTTTTTAATATATTTTTATTGCTTTCAGAGAGAGAGAGAGAGAGAGAGAGAGAGAGAGAGAGAAACATCAATGATGAGAGTCATTGATTGGCTGTCTCCTGCACAACCCCCACCAGGGACCCAATCCAGGCATGTGCCCTTGACTAGAAGACCCTTCAGTCCACAGGCTGATACTCTACTGAGCCAAACCAGCTAGGGCCTGGAAGGGATTTTTAATCTAGAGTCAGACTGCCTCTCCTTGTCTCTCCAACTCCATTTCAGGTACCTCTCCCTGTCCTACCTTGTCCTTCCGACCTTCCAGCTGTTAGGGGGTTTTTTGTTTGTTTTGGCTGGTCCTTATACCATGGGAAAGACACTAGTATAAGGATACATTTAATCCTAACATCAAATCTGAGTTACTAGTTTATAAATGAGTAAACTGAGGTGTTGAGATTAGGTGATGGTCCAAGGCTGGTGGCCTGTACCACACCTACAGGAATCTAGAACCTGTTGTATTTCACTGCCTCTCTGTGTACTCTCCTTGAGCTTTGGCCTATATCCGATGCTGTTTCTCCTGTGCCAAACTTCACTAGCCTACTCAGACCTTTGTAGTGATTTCACTGCCATTAGGAGTCCTGTTACTTATACTAACCCTTCCTGGCAGAGACCATAACCTCTCAAGACTTAAGTGTTAGCAGACACTGGTGGTTTTATCACCATTCCTGCTACCTTGCTAACCAGGAATCTAGCAGCCCCTCCCTAGCCCCAGGGATAGGTCTTGATTAATATAAACTCTAAACCAAACATTGTAATTCTAGATCCCTACGCAGTGATTGATTTAGGCCTGGGCTAATTAGATGTGAAGGGAAATCTGGGTGACTTCTGGAAAAGCTTTCCTTATTTAAAAAGATTTGCCATGTTTTATTTATTATTTTTGCCAGCTTATATTTTAATCCAGATATCACCAATCAACTTCAAAAAAAAGACAGCTGAAAAAGCTATAATAATAGCCAAAGATTATATAGAACTTTCTATGTGCTAGGCACTAAGTACCATATATGCATATATATTTTTTGAGGTCTAAATGCCTAACATCTAAGTACTGGAATATTGACTCAATTAATTCTCAGATTCTCATGTTCTAGTTGAGGAAATTGAAGCACAGAGATTCAGTAACTTGTGAAAGTTCAGAAATAGCAAATAGAGGAACTACTTACTCAGATGGTGTGGCTCTGACCAAAATATGGGCTATCTGAAGGACAATGTTCTGCCTCTGGAAAGGAAAGCCCTTTCTAACTCTGAAATTGCCATTACCAATGCTAGGATCATGAGGCAGAATTTATAAGAATAGGCTGTTGTTAGGGTGAGGGTAGAGAAGATGGAAAGAATCTGATCTCATGTTTTTGAGTCACTGGATTAGCCAGCTTTGGAACTGTCCTGTCTTTGCCCTTAAATAGTATACTGAAGTCCACTTTTAGGTGCAAGTAACAAACCCTCTCTAACTGTAATAACCTTCTAGGTCAGGAAGTCATTTAGCCCATCTCTTCGTTTGTTACCTCCAGTCTTACCTACTCTACTGTTCATAACAGCTTCTTGCAGAGAAGGCACCAAACTATCAATCACTATCTATCTCACAAGCACCAAACTCACTCCTCCTATTTGGATTTCTTTTCCTGCATTTTTTTCCCTTAAATATATTTTTATTGATTTCAGAGAGGGAGGGAGAGATAGAAACATCAGTGATGAGAGAGAATAATTGATTGGCTGCTTCCTGTTTGCCCTCTACTGAGGATTAAGCCTGAAACTTGGGCATGTGCCCTTGATTGGAATTGACCGTGGACCCTTCAGTCTGCAGGCCAATGCTCTATCCACTGAGCCAAACCGGCTAGGGCCTTCATTTTTGTTAGTGGTGGCTGATGACCCACACACTAGGGCATAAGATAGAAACCATATCTACCCTGTTTCCCCAAAAATAAGACAGTGTCTTATATTAATTTTTGCTCCCAAAGATGCGCTAGGTCTTATTTTCAGGGGATGTCGTATTTTTCCATGAAGAAGAATATGGTACACATTTATTGTTAAATGAAAATAAAGGAAATTTATTACCTGTATACGGTACGGTAGTACGGTAGTTGTCAACACAAACCAGACAAACTGTGAATCCTACAGTATCAAGAATTTACTCATTTATTCAATGACAATCATGTCATCATCTTCTGGAACATCATCATAACAATCCAATTCCTGAATTTCCTCGTGAATTTCTTGTGACTCCATTTCTTTCAGAATCAGTGGACTAAATCTCTCATGTTTAGCCTAGGGAGGGGCCTTATTTTCGGGGGGATGCCTTATATTTCACTCAGAAGGAAACCTGTAAGTAGGTCTTATTTTCGGAGGATGTCTCATTTTCGGGAAAACACAGTATCTTTGGTTTCTTGTTTCTTGCCTTTCTATATATACTTGTTCTAAGGCCTTGGAAATACAGTGGTGAACAAAACAGGCAAAAATTTATCTTCCTATTGAAATCCCTGGAGTTTAATTATAGTGGGTAATTGCATGAAATCAACCAAATGGAGACTGGCAGGCCAACTAGAGAGTCCCATGCAATCTACTCCCTGCAGTTGACCTCCTGGTTCATAGGTTGATGCTCAACCACTGAGCCATGTTGCCTGGGCTATAAAATATTTCTTAAATATTTTATGTATTTTATCGAATTTTATGTATTTAAAAATACATATCAAAA